ATCTTTCAATTTTTCACATTTACAGTTTATACATTCCGCTTTTTGTTTGTTGTTGCATTCTTTAAATCTATGATTGTGCCCACACTGGCTGCATGTGGGCTCTTTTTCTTTACAGTCGCGGGCTATATGCCCGATTCTACAACAATTGAAACATTGCGTGACGGAGATATAATCATCCGCCCCGCACCTGGACCATCCCAGGTTTACTTTCTTGGTTTTCATGATCAGCCTTCTTATCGTTGGGCTGACTTCAATCACCCAGTTTGTAGTGTTTTTGCTTTTGTTGCCGAACTGGAATTTAGCTTCGGCTTGATTTTTAAAATCTGTTTCAGTGATGGAATTATTTAAGATTTCATTTTGGTGGTACAGGCATTCTGTTAATTCGTCTCTTGGCACGTCCGTGCCGACTCCATACAATACTAATCTTGGTCTTCTTTTGCGAGGTTCCTTCGTTTTTAATCCTGTTTTAGTTTCGATAACTTGCTTCAATTTATCCTTTTCTTCGGGTGTGCTGACCTCAATTGCCACACCTCCTCTTCTTAACTTTCTGACAGCTGATATTCCGATACCCATTTGTTTTGGGTTTAAATGCGTTTTGAGTATTTCTTTTGTCTTGTCTGGATCTTCGCCATCTGCTTCGGGTTCAACCAAAAGAACCTCTTTCCTCGGTTTTGTATCTTTTTGAGCCGTAATCTGGGCATAAGTTGGTCCTGTGTTACTCTTGACTTCTATAACTCTATCTATTTTTTCCCTTAAGGCGTCCACTGCCACTTGCAGCGAGTCCATAGGTTTCTGCTTTAGTAGAGCAATAATCCTGTTTATTTGGTCGTAGACAAAAGCAACATGCTCTCCTGTTCCTAATCGACACTTATTATTATCTATCATATAGGTTTTCACCTCCTCACGGATACTTTCCGCGAGTTTTATTCTTTCCTCTTCTGTCGAGACATCCATTTCGCCTTGGGACGACACCTCGTCGTCCGACTCAGCGACGTGTGGCCTCTTGGTCATAGTCCTTAAAAAGACTGTTTATAAAATGTAAAAGTGCGCAGAAGTTACTTGGCTTCGCCCTTAAGGGCTACTGACAGGCAGGACCTCGTGAAGGTGTAACTCTGCTTCCCCTTGGCCTTGTATTAAAAGCGTTACAAAAGAGCACTCTCGAAAAATAGACGCAGGCAAAATCGCCAAATAAGCTATCGAATCGCTCACAAAAAATGCATACAAAACAATTGGGGCACCCTGCCCTTTGTTCAACCACTATAATGTAATCTTCCAACAGATAACTACCCAATGGTTGTTGCCCTTTGAGATCAATTGTGGTCTACTGCAAGGAGACTCTTGACCGCCTTATATGTTTAACTTTTATATATTTGACTTTAATAATTCTTTGGAGGAAGATGATTTCCTAATTGACAAACAGGTTGTTCATTCAGTGTTATATGTGGACAACATTGTATTGATTGCACTGATAGCAGTTGTGCTACAAAGGAAGATATATGTCTTCTGTGAAGAATTAAAACTAAAAATTAATTCTAATAAGTCATATGTGATGATGATCTATAATGTGGTAGACTACCAAAGAAATGTCATTTAAATATGTTTTAAGAAAGAGAAATTAAAAATGGGTCAAGAAATTCTCCCATAGGATATAACATGACTTGCAAGAAAATTAAATTCTTAGGAGGTATGTTATAGCCTACTTTTTCATTTGATGGACAATATAAACAATGGGTGCAAAAATCTAATATATTGATCATGAATACACTTAAGTTATTTAGATAATTAAAGTTGAGAAATCCTATTAATTTATTTCAGATATTTTTCTTATCATGAATTCTGTGGATTATGCTCTATCAGTTCGGTGTTTGGCTGAATGCCAAAATTTAGAAGCAGTACAAAATAAATTTATTTATAAGACATTTTTATTAGAATATACTGTAGTATACCTTAGTGTTCTTAGACTAAAGTTAAATAGATTCAGATTATTGTGCCTATATTACATAAGAAGGATGGTCAGTTCTTAAAAAAAATAAGAGAGAATGATTTTTGTTACCATCAAAATTTTTAATAATTTATTAAATCAGTGTTCTGCAAAAACTGGTGTGTCGTTACAAGGTGAAAGGTGTGATGTGAACTTTTACATATTCTATTAATCTCAAGTTTTATTTATATATTTTTATCACAGTTGTTGTGTTTATTATGCTTGTATTTCATTCACTGATGAAATAAGATGATGTTAAAGCAATAAACACATGTTGTCATCCCAGTACTCATTTATTCTTTTGGAGTTATACATTGGATTCACACAGATCTCGAGCAATTCCAAATGAAAAAGAGCAACACTTACTAAGCCTAAACAACATCACCCTAAATCTGCCATAGAAAGATTAACCGTTCCACGTAAAGATGGCGGATGTGGCCTGATCAACATAGTTAACCTCCACTACAAACAAATACAGACATTGTGAGAATTTTTCTACAAGAAACATTACAGTTACATAAAGCAATAACTCTAGCAGACTCAAATAATACACCATTAAATTTACATTCACAATGTATGGACACAACACAACATATAAATAGCATAGACACCATTAAGCAATCGTGAGCTCAAAAGGCACTCCATGGCAGGGTATCCTTATGACCTGATGCAGGATTTTGTTGACAAAACTGCATCAAACAGCTGGTTAGATCGGGGATGCCTCTTTGGGGAGACAGAAGGATTCATGATTGCCATCAGGATCAGGTCATAAATACTAAAAACTACAGAAAACACATACTCAAAGATACAACACTCACAAATGACACATGCAGAAAATGTCACATCATACCAGAAACCATACAAGACATTACTTCTGGTTGCAAGCTCTTGGCACAGACAGATTGTTTACATAGACATAATGAAGTAATAAATACAATACACCAAGAGCTTGCAAAGAAACACAAATTGTTAAGCATCCACAAACCATACTACAAACACATTTCACATGCAGTATTGAAAAACAGTATGAACAAAATGTACTACGACAGAGCCATAATCACATATAAAACAATTTACCACAACAGACCAGACATCATAATCATTGACAAACACAATAAAATCACATACATTATAGACATATCTGTTCCAAACACTCACAATGTACAAAACACATGCACTGAAAAAATCAGCAAGTACACAGAACTTGCCCAGGAAATAAGGCATCTGTGGAGGATGGATAAGGTGCTTATTGTACCCTGTCATCCTCTCCTCTACAGGTGTCATACCACACACATTACATGAAAGCCTGGGCACATTAAAATTGAATAGAAACACATACATCACACTATAAAGGCCACTATATTGAATACATGTCATATTGGTAGGAAATTCCTGAATGCATACATACACTGACACACTTATTTAATTTTTGGCTTGTTTTGATTACTATACCTTGACTCTGGTCTGGCATAGTACACAGCCATCAGTGTCAACCGAGTGTAACTCACAAAATTCAACATAATAATAATAGATTTATGGCATTACGAAATTCTACTAATAGTATCATACCATACATATAAGAGGGGAATAACATTTTGATGTGCCGTGTTGAGTCATGTCGAGTCATAGGTGTACTGCAAGTAGAAAAAGATTGCGGAACACTGTATTAAATAATTTAGAACCATCTGGAAGAAAACTAGCCCAGTGCAGGACTTGAACTCCACTTACCGTGCGATGTGCTTGCCAGTTTTAATTTTTAATAAATTATTAAAAATTATAATTATTAATTTATATAAGAGATGGTGCCTAATGTCTACCTCTAACACCAAATTACTAAATATCTAATCATTAATAATAGCATGTTTATAGTCTGATTAACTAAGGCAATTGTTTGGTTGAGTATCAATGTATCGGGCTTTGGAAAGTTTATTATATTGGTTAAGGTTATTTTATTTTTGTAGTTATATTTTTTTTTGTTTTTTGTTTTTATATATTTATATTTAAATCTGACTTATACATATAAATTTTTGGTGTTCAAATACATCATTATTGTCGGTTTTTGGTTTTGGTTGGTATATGCAGGGTTCGTGGAAAGTCAGGAATTTTCATTAGTGTTTGGAAAAAGTCATGGAAAGTCAGGAATTTGCTGAAAATTGTCAAAAAGTCAGGGAATCTGTCTGCTTAGCTGCCTTATTGATTTTGTTTGTGGAATATGGCTGACCAAGTGTAGCCATCTGCAGGCGGCAAGAAGTAATGCTGCAACCTTCATTATGAATATAGCAGAATCTGTTCTTCTATCGAAACATTTTTCGTATTAGAGGACATCACTAGATGTACAAATTCGTCTTTTATAAAAGTTTTGTCTTTCTTATGTGCATAACTGCTTTCCTTATATGATATCATCAAAGTCATCTTCCAAAAATACTGAAAATTTTTCTGGGGTGCTTAGTGCTGAACTTTGCACAATCACATATAATGAATTAATTTTAATAAGTCATACTTATTGTTCTATTGTATTGTGAAAATATATTTTAAAATTACTCAAAATCAGAACTTGAAATTACATCAAATTGTTTTAGTTTTTTTGAAAATTTAGTTTTAACATTTTGACAGTTAATACAAAGGTTTACTTTTACTGATAGTTGCAGGTCACTTTTAAAACTAACTTATACATTAATTGTTTATGTGAAGAGTTATTATAAAATGCAACACTGAGGAGAGCATTGCTAAACTCTGAGGATCAAACAGTCCCTAATATAATATACTGCAAGATCAATCAACATTTCTAAATTTTAAATATTTTGAGATTTTAAAAACATTTTATTGTGAATTTGAGAGAATAATGTGCAATACTCTTGTTAATGTTATATTGATTAAAAATTTTCCAAAATATTTTAATCCTTTCTAAACTCCCACACAGTTATCATTCACACCCTCAATTTGAGGTAAGGTGTTAATGAATTGATTTTAAAAAATGAGAACAAAGTGCAAAAATTGATAAATAATACCAATAAATTACAAATATTTATCAGTTTTTATTTTAATAATTTTTATTGTGTAACAAAACATAATTTCCATTTTCTTTCCTGTATATTAAAATTTTATACTTTTGTGACAGACTACAGAATTCATTAATTTCCTGCACTTTGATACATAGTTTAATAATTAGTGTAATATAAATAAAGTTGGGTAACAAACAACAGTTTTAAGCCCTAAATTTGCAAAACTTTACTGATTTTGGCAAATTTAGGGCTTAAAAACTGTTAATATTGATCATACCTGTAGTAACACTGTAGTATGTTATACTTTTGAATATCAATTAGTTAGCATGATCGATTTTTTACATGGGGAAAATGCTTTATTTGAAAATTTTTAAATTTAACTTTTTGTTAAAATTATGTTGTTGTTTAAAAAACAGTTAACCCTTTTTGTTGAAAGAATGGTTTTAAAATTACATGTTTCTAAGTCAAGAGTTCATCTTTTTTTAAGCACAGTGCAGTACTATTTGTATATCAGAGAATACTGTTTGTTGATTTTGTGCTTCCTTGCATTTACAAGATTTACATACAGATAATAATGATAAATGATGATAAAATAAAAAAGCTCATGTTTCGTTTGTAAATTGCTTATTTTTTTATTACATTGAAGTTTTGGATCCTATCAAACATTTTTCTACAGGATGTATATATTATACTTTTTGGGACAGTCTTTGGAACGTATCAACTGTGTAAAAACGGAAATAGATGTACTCGATGTTCACAGTAAGTAAAATGCTGTTTTATTATGTCGATATTCCATACTGTAAGAAATGTGAAGGTCAGGGAAAGTCATGGAATTAAAAATAAAAAATTGAGTAGGAACCCCGTATATGTATATTTTTAAATCTATGTAGAAGTTCTATGCATGCAGTTAAATGTTTAATGTTCTAAACTGTTAATATTCAAAATGCAACTTGTCCCAGAGGATAGCTTTCATTCTTATTTTTAAATTGTAATCTGTTTTCTATCCTGAGGAAGGTTGTTTAAAATGACTGAAAACGTTAGGAAAATTAAAATCTTACTGCATTTTTAAACGTATGAGTGGCAGTACTGTAATTTATGATGAATTCAGTTTGCTGAATAGACTGATGTAGTCTTATTTTCCTACTCTGGGTTAGAAATTGAATGAGAACATATCTTAACAATATTGTTTCTAAACTTACAATTGTTACTTAAGTTAATGTTCTAATCGTTATATTATTATATTATTATACAGTTCTAATCTTTACATCCAGTTTTTTTTTTTTTTTTTTGGTATAACTATTCTAATTTCCATTAACAGAAGAGAGTACTTTTTATTATAACTGAATAAATGAACAGAATTGAAACTTAAAAATAAAAACCATTCAACTATCCAGCATAATTCTTTAATAACATAAGAACGTTTCAAACGCATTAAGCGTCCATCATTAGTTATTTCTCTAATTTGAAACGGGAAATTCGAAAAATTACGCAATCGAATTTCAAATAGATGGTTATGTAAAAAAAAAAAATTAANAAAAACATCAGAGCATTTACAGCTTTGTTCAACAATCTGTTTCTGATTTTTGTAATAATGCCTCCGAACAAGGAGAACACACACTCATTTTCAACAGATGTTGGTTTTATTGTGTTTAAAGCTTTATAAAGTAGTTCCAAACTTTCAGTACATTTTCCGATTTCTTCAAATAACTGGAACTCCATTTTTAATGCTGCCCTTGATCTTTTTGCAAAAATTTTGGGTACAGTTTCTTTGATTTTTTTAATTGCCTGTTCCATTTGACTTTGAAATGACTCATTGGGTTCGTTGTATACTGTAGAGCTACTGGTACTGGGTTCAGCATCTATTATTTCCAAATCTGGCGTTTGGATACAAGGGATATTTTCAAAAAGTCTGTAATGCAGATCTTCCGCAAAAGCAATAAGTGCAGTTTTATTCAAATTCGAAGTAAAAAAATTCCATATTTTGCGACTGAGCTGTGGTGGCCAGTGTACAAATATTTTAACAAACATTTAACAGAGTAAGGTTAAAAGTCACACAGCCTTGTAAATTATCCCCACCTGTATTGTTTATTTGTAAACAGGAGGGAGAACAAAGGAAGCATCGCTTGGCTAACCTTTTGAAAATAAAATTTCAAAAATACAATTTCGATAAGCATGTCTTGAGTCTTAACCCGAATGTCCTGGGACCTGAGACAATTAAATTTAGAAAAAGTCCCGGGACTTCGAGACACAAGACGTCCCGGGACACAAACCCTAGTGGAAAATTTGTCATGGTATACCAACTTTGCAGTGTCTGGTGATACTGTAAGTAGTGAACAAGAAAATAATTGAGTCTGAAAAGCTAAAACCAAATCAAATTTATAATGCCAATAAAACTGGTCTTTTTACAACATGCTACCAAAAAAGACCTTAGCTTCAAAATTAGAAGATTCAGCTAGAGGTGGCAAAAAAAGCTGAGAGAGGATCACACTGCTTGCTTGCAGTAATGCTTCAGGGAAATATAAATTACCCTTTGTACTGGTTGGAATATCTGTTAAGCCACATGCTTTAAAACATATAAGCATTTCTTCTTTGCCAGTTGTTTACAAGTCCCAGAAATGTGCTTGGATGAATAGTGCAATTTTTAAAGAATGGTTTTTTTCACAGTTTTGTGCCAAGTGCACAAAGTTATTTAAAATGAAGGTTTGCCATTGAAAGTGATTAGAAAAAGCAATATCTTTATCTAATAACTTTGTATTGTTGTATACTTGCTTACAGGAGAATTCAATAAAACTTAAAAATAAAAACCATTCAACTATCCAGCATAATTCTTTAATAGCATAAGAACGTTTTCAAACGCATCAAGTGCTCATCATCATCATCAAGCGTTTATTTATTAAATACACGGAAATTTGTATATATCATTTTCGTTTATAATATGTTACTTTTTAATTTTTTTACATAACCGTCTATTTGAAATTCGATTGCGTAATTTTTTGAATTTCCCATTTCAAATTAGAGAAATAACTGATGATGGACGCTTAATGCGTTTGAAAACGTTCTTATGTTATTAAATAATTATGCTGGATAGTTGAATAGTTTTTATTTTTAAGTTTTATTGAATTCTCCAGTAAGCAAGTATACAATTATTTATTGAACAGAATTAATTTTAAAAAAATTAATTGTACATGACTAATGAAGTCTTATTTTTCTATGTTTAGAAAATGTAAAAGAAATTGTTGTAATAACACTGTTATAACTTTATCACTGAATTATAATTTTTATTATTAATCAGATAAAATCAAAAATATGTAAAATCAAAATTCAAATATATTCACATTAATAAATTTTATGCAATCAACTGTTCCATTTACTGAAGGATGATTTGCTACAGCATATTAATATTGTAAAGGCTTTTTATAAACAGTTTCAATTACATTTGAATTTAAATAGTTACACTGAAGATGTGTAGTGCTTACAGGGTTCCTACGCACCTGGAAAGTCAGGGAAAATCAGGGAAAGTCAGGGATTTTCATTATTTTTTGAAAAAGTCAGGGAATTTGTCAAAAATTGTCAAAAAGTCAGGGAATTTGTCAAAAATTGTAAAAAAGTCAGGGAATTTGTCGAAAATTGTCAAAAAGTCAGGGAATTTGTCTCCTTAACTGCGTTGTTGATTTCGTTTGCTGAATATAGATGACCAATCATAGCCATACGCAGGCGGCAAGAAGTAATGCTGCAATCTTTAATAAGAAAATACACCAGAATCCATTTTGAAATGGTTTTTTTCATCGTTCTGAAGCCATATAATTTTACAGTTGTGGATTAATAACAGGATAAACGACTTCTATGTAATAGTGTTTAATTTTTAATTTTAATAATTCAGCGATTATAAAAAGATGAAATTGTTTATTACAATAAAAAATAACTAATTAAAAATTTGTTTGCAAACTTTTAAGGCCCTGTACACACTAGGCGTTTTTCAACGCGCGTTAAACGCACGTTTTAAAGAACCAAGAGTTCTATGTAGCTGTACACACTCAAACGCCAAGCGCGCGTTTATAGACTTTTGTTAAAGCGCGCGTTTTGCGGGCACTTTATGGGCGCTTTGAGATATATGTGCTGCCTTATAGCGACGATGGAGGAGCACACACAATCAATTACTTTCTCGTCCATTTCCAAACTGAGCCAGTGCTAAACGCCGAACTAACGCTCGTCGAACGCCGAGCTAACGCGCGTTGAAAAACGCCTAATGTGTACAGGGACTAAAAGTTGAAATCGTAATTTATTAGAATGTTCATTTCAAAATAGCTAAATAGATCAGTAAAAGTCTGTAATTTAATCGTTTTTCACGTTTAAAACATTACTACACAGCATAAAAAATTATAAATAGTTACCCGACGTTTACAGTAAAATACTGGTGCTGACTTGTTGTTGGCACAAGCTTTTTATATTTGTTGTTACGATTTTCCTTGAAAGTACTGTACTGCAAGCATATTTTTCCCTCTCTTCCGTTTTTTTCTGCAACTTCGATACATAGTTTAATAATTAGTTTAACTGAAATGACGTTATAACAAATATCACTGATTTTGGCAAATTTAGGGCTTAAAAACTGGCAAGATTGATGATACTTGTAATAAATATTCTGTAGTTATATTTTCGAAAATCAACAGGTAATCCGATAGTTTAACCAATGTTAACTTGCTTATAATTAAAATTTAAAAATTAAAAAGCTGTAAATTTAAAAAATAATAATTACATTACTAAAAAATTAAAATAAATTTGATTATTTTTTGTGCGAAACAACACCAAAACAATTTTTATAGTTATGTTGCAAAAGAAAGAGATTTGTAGTTACGATTCTCTGCGCTGAACTTCTATATTTTAATAACGTATAATTGTAATTTCGTTTGTTGTTTATTTCTGTATTTATTTTATTTTATAAGTTTTAAGAATCCCAATTTTCGTAATACTATGACTTCATAGGAATACAAGTGTGAGGTTCCGGAATTGTCCGGAACTAAAATAGAAAAACGTAAAATAATTTAATTATTAGAGAAAAAAAGGAATGAACAGAAATTTTTTATAGAAACTTGAGAAATAGTCTAGACCCGTGTTTCTCAACCGCCGGTCCGCAACTCTAATCTGACCAGTCCGCGAAAACTTTAAAAATATATACTTAACCTTCCATGCGTTGTTCTCAAATAGGAAATATGTGGATTATTAATCCGTTTATTGATAGCAAACTAATAGATTGAACGACTTTGAATACGAAAAACTAATCAAATTAAGTTCAGACTTGGGATTTAAAACATTGTTTGAATCAATGCCCATAACACAGTTTTGGATTAAAGTTAAATCTGAATATCCAGTTTTACATAAAAAGGCAGTTAGGATGTTACTACCTTTTTCAACAACGTACTTATGTGAATCAACGTTTTCAGCAATGGTAATGATAAAATTGAAACAACGAAATCGTTATAGTGTTAGTTCTGCCTCACGCCTTGCAGTTACCACCTTAACTCCAAGAATTGATGATCTTACTAGCAAAAAAGAAAAGCAGCGATCACATTGATTTGTATACTAATGTACTGGTAAATAAAATAACAAATATTTATTGCTCAATGTAGTTTGCAGTTCTTTTTACAACAGAGAATTTTTTTCAATTAAAAATAATATTGTCACTGGTCCACTTAAAAAAAGCAGATATTTTCCGGTCTGCGATGAGTTTTGGGTTGAGAAACACTGGTCTAGATCATCCTTTCTCAAAGTGGGTGATAACGCCCCTTTGCGGGCACTGGAGGCTTTCATGGGGGCAGTAGAAGGCTCAGTGATTAAATATGAGTTTTATTTCTTCTCATCAAAACATTCTTTGATCTCAGAAATAGGATATGGGTCACACCCTATCTATCCTATCCATATAATAATGCATGTTTAAACATTATATTTGCAATAACTGTTTTTAAGATATGCAACAGATGGTAATGTAAAAAGGTTAAAAAAAAGTTACTCTTTTTGTTGAAAGATTGATTTTAAAATTATGTGTTTCTAAGTCAAGAGTTCATTTTAAGCACAGTACAGTACTATTTGTTTATCAAAGAATAATTTTTGTTGATTTTATGTTACCTTGTATTTACTAGATTTACATACAAATAATAATGATAAATGATGATAAAATAAAAAGCTTGTGTTTTGTTTGTAAATTGCTTATTTTTTCATTACATTGAAATTGTGGATTCTATCAAACATTTTTCTACAGGATGTATGTACTGTATTTTTTTAATGTGGCAGTCTTTGAAGCATATCAACTGTGCAAAAAGAGGGCTAAATGTACTCAATGTTAACAGTAAATGCTGTTTTATTATGTCGATATTCCACACTAAAAAATGTGAGGGTCAGGGAATTTGGACAAAGTTGGTCAGGGAAAGTCAGGGAATTCAAAACAAAAATTTGAGTAGGAACCCTGTGCTTATTTTATATATATATATATGTACAAATTATGATAATTCTTAAAAATTCAATTTCCAATTAATCAATATTTTGAGAAATTATGGAATATTTTTGTAAGTTTTAAAACAGGATAAAGTTTATAAGAATAAAAAATGTAACATACATTGTTTGTTTATATATATATATAAAGCTATAATATATTATTTTATAAAGCTATAATAAAGCTGCTATTAATAATTAAATGTCAGTTATTAATAATAGCATCATTATAGCCAGAAATTGTTTGACATATTTTATTTATTTTAATTTTGAATTTTTTCCATAATTATCTTGAGGTAATTATGGAATTAATAGTAGCTTTATTATAGTTCTCTGTAATCTGGCAATTGTTTGACATTAATCTAAAAATCAGGTTATTGGATGCTTACATTTAAATAAAATATAGTTTTATTTTATTTAAATATAAGCATAAATTAATATTTTATGCTTACATTTAAATAAACAATATTTAAATATATTATTAGATATGATTATAACTAATGATAATTTATATTATTTACAGCTGATGATTCAATCATGGCATCAAAATCAATCAATGCTTCCCTCATTCCTGAAGTTCTAAGTACTGTTTCATCTGTAGTTTCAACTACCTCAATGTCTTCAGCATTGTCACTCTCAACTGTCTCAACAACAGATTCAATGCCACATAATTTACCAAAGATGCAGTCCTCTATGACAACATCCTCTTTAGCATCTGCTAATTCATTATTACACAATACTTCATCGGGAAGTCAATCTTCATCTGCTCATGCATCACTCTCATCACAGGTAGAAGTGATTTCTATTGAATTGAATTTCTTCTTTTCTTTTTTTTATCTTGATTTCTTGAATTTAACTTGTAGTTAAAGTGGATCAAGGAAAAATTAGAAAGTTTTTCATGCAAAAATGGATTAAATTTTTGGGGAAAAAATGCCAATCTAAATGGTTATTACACTGATAATGAATATGTATGATTAAAATAAATGATTTTACTATTATTTAATAAAACTGGTCAGTTTATTGTATTTCTTTCTAAACTAATTTTATGAAAATAGAGATCTTATTTATCAGTCAACTCTTGTATTAAATACTGGGTAACAATTAATGTTTAGACAAACAAAAATCTTTATTTAAAGAGAATGGTAATAGATACAAAGGTAAAACTGCTCAAGTGTTTACTTGAAATCAACTGATGAGGTTTTCAAAGTGACTGCCTCTGGATGCAATGACATGACGAAGACATGTGGAATAGTTATCAATGACCTTTGCTATGGATGCTATTAAAAGCATTAACAATGGTTGTTTTGAAGTTATCAATTGATTTTGGGGCTTTGTGATAGACATTATCTTTAATATAGTCCAAAGAAGAAAATCAAGAGGACTCAAGTCTAGGAAGTATGGAGGTCAGGGAATGCTGTCAGGATAGTGATTTGGGTAGCTTAGGCTATAGCATTTGCAAAATAATTTGACTAAACTGGATATGTAACTAAATGAAAGAAGCAGTACACCTTTTATTACTCCAGCAATTTAATTAACCAAAAACGGTTTCATCTACTGCTGTAGGCCTTCTTCAGTTGGAACATCAAACTTAAAAAAGAACACTTGAAAAACATATTAAATGCAATGGAAATAATTTAAATGAAAAAGAATATTCTAAATAAATGGAGAATTCATACTAATTTGTCCTGAATGTCAAAAATATATCAAAAATAGCCCATGCTCTGAGGGGTGCTCCATTCTGTTGAAATCAATAAACATCAACCATAAAGTTTTGAATCTTTGGAAAAAATTCTCTGCAAGAAGAGCCTTGTATCAAGCTGTGGTGACTGTCCTTTGATACAAAATGGACCAAAAACCATTTGACCACACAGGGCAGCTCAAACTGTGACTATTTGAAGGTGAAGAGGTTTTGTTATGGAGAATTGTGGTTTCTCTGAGCCTGAAGAGTGGAAATTTTGCCTGTTGATGTAGCCTTCCAAGTCAAAAATGGACTCCCCTCTCACTGAATGAGATAAAGTTGGGAATGATCTAGTCATTATGTTATTGGACAATGAATGTGTTGTGTGTAGTTGAATCTTTGAGGCTTTGTAGACAATTCAAAATTAAAATAAATAAAATATGCTAACTGATTACTGGATTACATCAGGCTATAATGCTGCTATTGTTAATAATCAGACAATTCCATATAAAAATTTTTTCATGGTTTTTTTCAGTCTCTGCTCATTTTTAGCAGGCTGACTAATTGATGACAGGATGTTGATGGAGTCTTGTTGATTACAGCTTTGGTGCTCTTGATGTTTTCTTCTACCATGCTGTCAAGTTTTAGACATTTTCCTTATAGGCATCAAGGACAGTACCAGTTTCTTCAAATTTCTGTATTAAGTTCATGACTGTACCCCAAGATGGTTTTTGGCAGTTCTTGAATGTTGTGTACAATTTGTGGAGCAATTCTGTGATTGTTTTTACCCAATTTATAATACATTTTCAAGAGAAAAATCTTGTCTTCACTGGAATATTGCTGTTTGCATACCATACCTAAAATAATGCCAAACTCTTTCAATTGTTTACCATTTTTATCACTAGCTCACTGGTAGAATACCAGTCTCCACACAACTTTTGCATGTACAGTTCATTTGTGTCTAAACATTAATTGTCACTTGACATATATTTCTAAAGTTAGTATTGTTTGTTCTATTCTTTTCATATTTATTTATTATTGATTAAGATTAAGAAGTTCATGAATATCTTGTAAGATGTAATATAGTAACTTTCTGATAATTTAGTTACCAGAAATTTATATCTTATATCTTGTATTTACCAAACGTATTGTTATATGTATGACAAAGCAGAAGAACCTAATAGCAAGAGTATATCTTTTTACTTTTCATAGACACAATGTAGTGACACTTTTTAAACACTTGGCAGATTGTTCATCTTTTATTAGATTGGGAAAGTTGATAAGGCAGACACTTGAAACTTTCCCAACCTAATAAAAGATGAATAATCTTGCAAAGTGTTTAAAAAGTGTCACTACATTGTGTCTATGAAAAGTAAAAGGAAATAAAAAAAACATGGTTTCATTGGAATTAAAAGAGTATATCTGATGACATCACTAATGAATATTTCTGATTTTTATATAGCTAATCAGGAAGTATTTTTAATGATATATTATTATTTTATTTTTGGAGTTTTTTCACTTCTCATGCATTTGCAATGTCTGAGAAAAAGAAAATCAAGTTTATTTTAAATCAAGTTTATGAAGTATGTTATTTCTGAGAATATATTTAGAGAGAGCCAATAAAGTCTATAGATCTATAGTCTTTATAGAGGCTATAGGAAAAAAATGACAGAAAATAAACTGTCATGAAACTGTAATGGCAAACTTTAAAACTCATGTCTAGAAACAAATTTATCTGAAATTAATGCTGTTAATAATTATACTTCAACATACACTCAGACTCATTGAATATTATACAACATATACACCTTATTGCTCTATTATAGAACAATTGTAAATGTTCCACTAAACTGATAACCTGATGATCGCCTGTCGATCAGATTGAAAACGTTAGTTAAAGTAGTAAAATGATTCTTAGCAATAAGGTGTATATGTTGTTAATAATAATAATAATAATAAAAGAAATGTCAAATAAGTTCTGAAGGAAGGAACTGTAAGGGTAGATTTCAGAAAACCAGATCCTGATAAGGTCTAGAACTGGTTTAGACCTAGATTTTTGAAAAAATTCATTTCATGGACTGTTTATTCTAGACTTTGTTCAGACTTGGTATCAGAAACTAGTATTTAGCACTAAATTCTAGATCTGCAAAGTAGCTGGTCTGTAGAGAGTTTAAAGTAAGGCCATGTGCAGTTGGATAATAAGTTAAGAGTATTCAATTATATGAGCATAAGCGTATCGCATAAGAGTATTCACATAAGAGTATTGTAATAATAATGTAGTATCGCATAAGAGTGTTGTGTAAACTAGATACAATAATGGAAAGAAGCTGCAAAGACAAATTGTTCCACTTTTATGAGATGAAAATGTTCTGAGATCAAAGTTTGCTGCTGCCTCTGTTTTTATTTATGTTTTCATTCTTTTCCAGTATTTTAATGAAAGACATCATTTAGTTTTTTTTTTCTGGATAAAAACCATGAAAAGTATTGTATGGCCAATGCCTGCTATGGCCCCCAATTTGTATTTATCAATTTTTTTCCATTAGTAATGTTCAAGTGCAGATAATTTTAAATCATTTTTAAAATGTTAAATCTTAATTTTCTGAAATGTTAATATTTAATTAAATAGATAAGTAAGATCAAAGTTAATTGATTTCTGACTACTATTCAGTTGATCAAAATTTGAACTGACCGTCTAGGAAAACACAAAATGTTAGCAAAATTGATTTCTCCTTTTTTGGAAAAGTTACATGTCTTACAGAAACTTATTCCACTATTTTTTAGCACAAAACAACTACTAATCTTAACACTGCGTTGAGTAACAACAATCCATAAAACCTTTGTTATAGGACACAACACTATTATAAAATCTTCACAAATGTTTTCAACCTCCACAGAGGTCTGCTTCAGGTGGTGACTAAACAGTGTCTCCTCTTGACTGTAGGAACGATGACGCCCAAGCTATAAATAATGCGCATATCGCGTTTCGCCTTTCCGCTTGTCTCAGTTTGAATTTTTTGAATAAGTATCTCCACACCCGCGCGATCCTTTCTCTGTCTTTAAAGTTGATACAGGTGCCCCCAATGTTGGCTTTATAAATCTCCCAGGCCTCCAGGTGATGGATGTGATCAATACGAAACGCCTGTCTGATTCCTTTGGTGTTTTGGAAGTTCGCCCAAATTTCAGGATCAGTAACATAGGCCAACAAGGCGGTTGTGTGCCTGTTATTTTTAATATCCGATTGATGCTCACTTAACCGTTTTTGTGTTGAGCAGATGGTGGAGCCAATGTAAACTAAGTCTCTATGGAATCTATCATCCCTGATGGGAGTGGAGTATACCCCTGGGGCCCTGTTGAGATCTATCGCGTCCTTGGTGTTGCGTAGTAGGTCGTAAATAGTGCCGGTTCTCCTGTACACGATCTTTGTGCGATTACAGCAAGCAATCTCCCTGTATAGGGTGTCTAAATGTTTGTTGAATCAGATGACCATGTGTCTATTGTTCTTAATGGGTTGGTGGCTGCCGTCCGGCGTGGGCAGGGGGCTGCCATTGCGGCGTGGGGGACGGTTGGCGCAGGCATGGGCTAAACTGCAAATCATGCCTTTACTGTAGCCATGCTCATTGGCAATTTTTTCTATGCGGCGGAGCTCTAACCGGGTGTTGTGAGTGTTTGTATGGTGCATGAAGGCCTGTCTGATAAGGGCATGGAAGGCCGCAATTTTGTAGGCAAAGGGGTTGGACGAGTTTGCGAGGATGAAAAGTGGAAGCTAGTCCTGTTTATGGTAAACCCTCATTTCTATCTTGCCACCCCTGAGATGTATGTCAACATTTAGAAAATGTGCACGCGAGTTGCCAACTTGATCTAAGCCATGGGTGAGGCCATAAGCATTGTTGTTCATGCACGACAAAAAATCGTTGAGATTCGGTGTGGTTTTCCAAAGTATAAAGATGTCGTCCATGTATCTTTGGTATAGACTGATGTATGGTAAGAATTTGGGCAATACTCTCTCCTCCAACTGTCTTACCACCAGCTTGCAAAGGTCCCCTAATAGTGGGCTGCCCATGGGAACACCCCGGCTTTGTAAGTAAGTAGTGTTGTTGAACTGGAAAACCAA